CCCCAGTTCTTCGTGCCAGCGCGTTGCTGGCTGGCTCGCTCCCCACTCTGCACACCTTTCCAAGCGTGCTTTGGGCTTTCCCATTGACCGAGGACTTGTGGGTCGTGGGTGGCTCTCCGACCTGCTGGGTCACACTGCTTCAGCGAGAAAAAAACCCAAACCCACACCTTTCCCAAGGCCTTCTCAAGAGTGACTCGAGCCAACCCCTCTCCTGGCAGAAGACAGAGCGGGACAAATCTGTTGCACAAAACTCCGGCTGTGTGGGAACCACAGACACTGGTTTCATTCCCCAAGATGGGAGCTGGCTTGGTCCGTGGGCAGACTGACCCTTGGCAAAGCCAAGTAAGCAGGTGAGGTGCTGCAGCTGAACCACGCACACTGCAACCGGGCAGCGGAGACATTTCAGCTGCAGCAGTGTGGTGTCCCTGCCTGTGGCACCCGTGTTCTTTACCTTTCTCTGCTCTCTGGGCTGGTACCAGCAGCCCCTGACTGTGTTGAGTGCCACCGAGGTGGAAACAAGGATGACCTTATCTCCCACCTGTAAACAGTTCTCACCTCCTCACCGGCTCTCCTGTCCTGCCAACTGCAGGACAGATACGGGCTGTTCAAGGAGCAAGCCCTCTGTTTTGTAAAGCTGCTGGTCTCCAGGGAATTTTGCAACAACCGTGGAGCTACCAGCGCTCAGCGATGTCCTGCTGGTGCTGACTTCTCCTGCTGCAGCCCCTTCAGTCGCCTGATTTCTGGGCCAGGAGCATCTCCAGTCTGCTGACTGCTCTCTGCTGCCTGGGGTATCAGGCTACGGTCCTGTCCTGTAATCCCTGGTTGTTTAAAAGACTTTTACCACTCATGTCTCACAATGTCAGCTTTTTCTGGCCTGAAATGTGTTATTCCCCTCTTTCATTTTTCTTGCATCCATTTTTATATCTTATGTACAATGGTGAGGTGATGGTCTACTATCCTATAATGTGTGTTTGTGAACCATTGAGGGATTTGTACCTGTCCCTGCTCTAAACCTCTAAACTGAAAAACCTCTCTCACGTGCACACAGAGTACAGTGTCCTCAAGCAGTCTTGACCCTCAGCTCTGGGTCAAGAGAGCTCTCTTTCACTTCACCCGCTCTCGGGAAAACCGCTTCCTGCGAACCCGTCCACATGCACGCGCAGAGAGAGCTCAGCGCTCCCACAAGCAAGCAGAAATGCTGCCACGGCAATGCTGTCTCCTCTTTCTCTCAACCTCTGCTCACGTAGCAGGTGGTGTGGCATCCTCCTCAGACTCACTGCTGCCACCTTCACCCTGTCTGCGACATCCAAAGCCAACAGGCGAAAGGGCTCGCAGATCTTAGAGCATCCTTTCTGAGCACTGGTACTGGCTCCTTCCTCCTCCCTAGCGCCGGTTACTAGGGTTTGTTAGAGCCCATAATGTGTCTGGTTTAACCCATCAGCTTGAGATTTCTGCGAGCTGCCCCGTTCACAAAGCAGAGGCAGGAACGCTCCTTCTGGAGGGTGAGGTGACTATGTCCAGTGCTGGGGATCGGAAGCGGCACCATTCATGTCCTGGGGCTGCGTGGGACTCACCACCCCGCGCCGTGCCTGGGCGTGATGGAGCCGGGCAG